TGGAGATATAAACAATACCCTCCCCTTGGGTGGGTTAGTGCCCTGTGCCCCCGCTACCCATTTCTTCCTTATTTTCATCATTTTTTTTTGTTTCCTTTCCCCACCTCCTCCCCTGTTGTCTACCATGTGCATCCCTGCATTTGATCTGGGCCCTTCCATATTACCGTTGAATTTATACATGCACAAAAGCTTATTTTAAACAAAACACGTTTGAACATATCTCTGACATCAGTAGATGGCTGCAGACAAGTTCTCTCAATAATACCCTTATCTTAGCCACCTCTGCAATCCATCCAGTCGTGCCAACTCACAGTGACCCATAGGACAGGGTAGAACAGCCTTTCTGAGTTTCCAAGATTGTAACTCTTTATAGGAGTAGAAAGCCCTATCTGTCTCTGGTGAGCAAGGCTGGTTTGTTAGAACTATTGACCTATCAGTTAGAAGCCCAATGTGTAATCACTACGCCCCCAGGGGTCTTAACAAAGAGTCTGAATTGACTCGACAGCAGTTTGGTTTTGATTTGGAGAAGCAAGATGCACAAACAGGTCTCCAGTTTTAAAATACATATGAATCACTTGGGCCGCTTATGAAAATGCAGATTTCCAAATACTGCCTCAGTTGTTGGATTCAGCAGGTCTGTACTTGTGACCAGAGAAACTTCAGGCTAGAAATAATTACACTGGCCAGAACAGGCATGATCACACTGGTCCTTAGGCATCTCACCAACAGGTAACATGTACTACATGTGCTCACCGCTCACTGACATGATTGTACTGAGGGTCCCATTCAGTCAGGAGAGGCCAATGTCCAACAAGGAAAGCAACACCATGTGCAGTGGAAAGCACAAGTAACCACCAGAGCCTGCCCCTCTGTGAGCAATACAAAGGCCATGCTGCTGCCTGCTCCGAAAATACCCTGATCTAGAAGCCAGGAAATGGTCCCAAACTGATGGATCCTGAGATCTTTACCAGCTAGTTCTTTATCAGAGAGAAGCACAGTTATAGTTGTTTGATCCAGAAAGAATTGATAAAGAATCTGCACATATGAATACAAACCAAGCAAACAAGACATCCAAACCAGTTGCTATGAAGTCTATTCCAATTCATACAAACCCAACTGTGTTAGTCTGGGTATTTTGGAGAAACAAATCCACAGAAACGCATGTATAAGAGAGACTTTTGTATAAAGGTTAAGTGCGCATCAAGAAAACATCCCAACCCAGTACTGTCCAAGCCCACAGTCCAACATTAACCCACTAACCCATATGTCCAACACCAATCCACAAAGTCCTCCTCCATCTCACAAAACAGACGCAATGATGGCGACTGCAGGAGGGAAGCTGAGTACGTGAATGTGTAAGCATCTCAGCCCTGGCAGAGGTCTCCATATGGGTGCTCCAGCACAAGGGCTGCATCTGGGTAGGTCCATGTGGCCTCTCCTCAGAGATGTCTTGTAGGAAGTGAGCCTTGCCAGCTAATGCAGGGAACTGGTTAAGGCAGCTGCACCCTGGTCCAACTATCAGAAAGCAAGAGACCTGA